ATTGCAAGAGACTTGTATTTGAATCTCTTGATTCTCATTATATATGCTTTTTTAAATCTTCTGCACATATATTTAATCTCTTTTCTGTTTATATCTGCTGGTAAATCCCAGATTGTTATATATTTATGTTTCTGTGTTTCTTCTTTTCTAATATCTATTTGGTCTTCTATTAGCTCTCTTTTGCTTTTGTGATGTTCGTATTCCTTTTTTTTAAACTTTGATGTATTGTTCTTTTCTTTTTGATACTTTTTATCATATGTTTTTTCTTTTCTCTTCTTGTCTATTCTTTTTTCTTCTGTGATCATTTTGTACCAATCACTTTCTTTCTTGCTAATTCTTTGTATTGCCTCACTTTTGCCATATTCGCAGTCAAAGTCTACCTCTATCCAAAGGTTTCCTTTCTTAAAAACCTCTTCAATGTTTTTGACATGTTCATTATTCTTTAGTGACCATCTAATAAAGTTTGTTTGTTCTTTTTTGGTCTTTCCAGGTACATTGTATGCTGATATGTTTGTAAGTAGGCTGTTATTTCGATTGCAGCCTCTTTTGCTTAGTGTCCACATGCTTTCCTTAAGTAGTAATTCCACTATATCAATTTCTCTTTCAATTTCTTGTTTTCTTTTTTTTTCCTTTCTTTTTCTTCTGCTGATAATCCCTGTCTTGATTCTTTTCTATTCATTTCTATATCTTCTTGTTCTTGTCCTCTTTTTTGATTTTCTTCTTTTTCTATATAAATGGATGATTCAGTTTCTATTCGGTTATTATTTGTTTGTCTTATCTTTATACTTACTTTTTTTCCTGCTATTTTGATGATTGCTTGTGAACTCATATTGGCCTCTTCATCTTCTTCATTTTTCCTTTTTGTCTTTGTCATTAACTCTTCTTGCCTTTCTTTTATCTCATTAGTCTGTTGCTGTTCTTCTTTTCTTTCTACATTTAATCTATTTTGGTACTGTTCTACAAAATCCAACTTCTTTTTAGGCAGTTCTCTTTCTGCTTTTTCTAGTATTTCTCTTGTTATTCGCAAGAGTGCCACTTCATTTGGATTCTGTCTTGTAAGTACTGTGACAATGTTGTCTTCTCTGCTAGGTGTTGCATATGCCTTGCTTGTCTCATTAAAGAAAATTTTGTTGTGCACACTATTCATCGCCTCATATGCCCTTCTTGTGAAAATTGCATTAAGGCTTTTTCTATATTCTTCTGACAGATTTCTATTCATGTTGTGTAACCGTTTTCTATATATTTTTATGTTATGTGTTGTATCTATATTAAGTTAGTTGATGTACATGTTTGTTTGTTTACTTTGCTTGTATTATTGTAGTTTCTTGTGTAACTTGAAGGATCTGCAGTACAGGGTTTGGCAATTCCCTAATTTTTCAAACAAAAAAATTTTTTCCTTTTGTAAAGAGTTTTTGTATGCTATTCTTTAAGACTTCTCTTTGTATCTTTTATTAAACTATATGCAATTTTTGCTGCTCTGTCTTTTTTATTAGTACCTCAAGTCTTGTTTTCTAGTCTAATTGTTGAGTTTTACTGAGTTTTGCTTCTTAGCAATTTTGGTTGAAGGATCTGCAAAGGAGAGTGTATTAGTAATTATATCACAATTTTAAAAAATATAATATTTAATATACCAACATAATATATTTTTATATATAGAATCAGATTACTTATAATATTAATAAAGTATTATTTAGTAAAATATTAAGAATTTTGAGATTTTTCATAATTTTATTAGTAAAATTATTAAAAATTTTAAGATTCTTAAAGTTTTATTAATTAATTCTATCTTTATGCTCTAAGTAATTTAATTCTATATATAAATTTATATTAGAAATATATAATATTATTTTAAATTTCATAATTTTTTTAAAAAAATGCTAAATTTTACTAATTTTTGAATTTTTTGATCAAAAAATCCAAATTTTGGCATCATTTTCTTAATATATAAAAAATATAATATTTAATATGCTAATATAATATAAATTTATATATAGAATCAGATTACATAATATACAAAAATAGAATTATTTAGTAAAATATTGAGTATCATAAGATTTTTTATATTTTATTAATAAAATTATTGAAAATTTTAAAATTCTTAAAATTTTATTAATTAATTTTATTTTTATGCACTAAGTAATCTGATTTTAGATATAAATTTATATTAAAAACATAATAATATTTTATATTTATTAATTTTAAAAAAAAATATATCAAATTTTATTAAATTTTACTAAATTTTACTAAATTTTATTAAATTTTAATAAATTTTCTAAATTTTAAAAATCTATTTAAAATATTATTTAAAATTAAAACCAAAAACATTTAGGACCTAGCAACAAAACATCTAGAACCTAGTAACAAAACATCACCTAAACCTAAAAGCTAGAAAATTATAATTTAACTTTATTATTAATTAAATAACTAAAATCTAAAATTTAAAATACTTAGAACCTAGTTTTGAAGCATTACCTAGACCTAAAAGTTAGAAAATTAGTAAATATAGAATCTCAAATATTTAAAAACTAGTTCTGAAGCATTATCTAGACTTGAGAGCTAGAAAACTATAAATTAAATTTATATTATATATTTTTAAATATATATTAAATTTATATACTAAATTAGAGATTTAAAACACTTAGAACCTAGACTTAGAATATCATCTTAACTTAAAAGCTAAAAAACTATAAATTATAATTATATATTATATTTTTTTAATTATATATTAAATTTATATAAAAATTAAATACTAAATTAGAAATTTAAAACACTTAGAATTTAGCTCTAGAGCATCACCTAGGTCTAAGAGCTAGAAAACTATAAATTAAACTAATATTAAATAATAAAAAATTTAAAATCTAAAAAACTGCCAAATCTGAGATCAAAAATACTTAGAATCTAGCTTTGAAGCATTATTCAAGCCTAAGAGCTAATGTTGGTTTCATCTATTTGCATGTTTTAAGATTTGGTTTTATTTAAATTAGAGGTTTATGATTCTGAGTTACTCAGTTTGTTGTTGGTTGGTATATTGCTATTTATAGTAATTGTTGTGTTGCTATCATTTGCAATAATCTGCATCTTACTATTTTTATTAACTGTTTGTTGTTATAACTTTTGATATAACCAATGATATCATTTTAAAATTTTTTAGAAATAAACTAAATTGCCCACTTTTTGTGTCAACAAAAGCTGTAATCATAGCAGTGTGTCTTCTTTTATTGTTATTAGTAAGAAGTTAGATTGTTTGTATCTTTAACATAGTTTTTCTAATTGCTGTTGTGTTGGGCATAATTATATTTATTAAAACTTTCTTAAGAGGGTTCTGCAAGAAAACTTTTCCTTGTAGGTTAGAAAAACTTTTCTTATTGTTACTATTCTGGTTCGCTATTTTCTTTTTCTTTATTTTGTATTATTTAATTTGTTTTACTTTTGTCATTTTTCTGTTATACACAAATGCATAATAATTCAAAATTTTATAATTATTTAGTTTGATATCTGACTCTATCTTGCTTAGTTTTTTATTATTTTTTTATTAATTTTGATGATATATGAAAAAGAGTTTTTATTGTTAGTAAAAATTAAAATGCTTGTAATTAGTAATAATATCTATTTTTTAGCTTTGTTATAAAAATTAAGTTATTTTGTAAATGTTTGTATATATATCTTTATTAGATTAAAAGTTTTGTTTTGAATTTTTATATTTCAAATGGTAATTTATTTAAATAAGGTTCTCTGAATATAGTATATTTACCAGGTTTGGATTAAAATTTTGATAAATAGAATCTTGAAAAACAAAATCTTGACAAAAATTAACTGGAATTACAGTAAATGCAGGTCAAACTTATTGGAATTATAATCCCATCTGTTGAGATTTTGACTCAGACCCATATTTACTAATACTATATTGTATGCATTATATATAAGACTTGTATTATATATTACAAAATTTTTATTAACTAGTATACATATGTATTCTTTTTTGAATTAGACCAAGTTCAATTGCATAATTGTACAATTGAACTTATTAGTACTAGTACAATTAGTTCAATAACTAATTGATTCAATTGTTTAATAAGTTCAATTTCAACACTGGTCAAAATAGAATTACATATTGTGAATTTAAAATTAACTTAAGTTGGAACAGAATTTCAAATATAGTCTAAATTAATATGAAATTTAAAAGCAACCTAAGTTGATTCTAAATATAATAATCAACAAATTTAAATATCTAGTTGCTTTTAAATTCGATATTACAATAAATATATAATTAATAGATGCAAAATAGAATCAAAATTTTTTATCTTTTGCAAAACTTTATCTAACAACTGAATCTCAAAATTATTCATTTTTACCTTATAATAAATTTAAAAATTTATTTTCTAAATATCTTATTAGTAAATTGGCTAATAGTTAACATTAAACCTTTATAACATATAAAGACTTCTGATTTTATATTAAAGTTTACTAGATCCAGCAAATACAAGCACAATAATTAAAAAATACTTTTCTGCAAGGCCCTCAAAGTTTTGGAAAATGGCACATATAGCTTGGATACAAATAGGCATTATTAGAATTACTAATAAGTTTCTAGAATTAGATATGTAGTATAGTTGATATTGAACCTTCCTATAAGAATCTACATACACTCTTTTTAGACCACACATATTTGAAAGTAAAGTAAAACTAAACAGAAAAATAAACTACAATAGCAAGACAAACAAACTCAAAAAAGGTTTTAAAGCAAAAGTACTTGCCTTTGTTACAAGAAAAAAATCCTTTAAAGCTTTTAATAATACAAAAAGCTTTGACATTATAATAAAAAAATGAAAAACAACAACAAACACTGATAAGAAAAACACCAAAAATGTGAAGCCTATACAAGTAGAAATAAAAGCCAATAACTCAAGTTCACAGAACATATCAACAAAAACAACTCTAGCTAAGATAAACAAGTAGTTTAAGAAACCAAAGAACTCAAAAAAATAACAAATACATATAAGGAAAAACTTAAAGAAAATAGAATATATATAACAAAAGAAAATATCTTATTGGTAAAAAAAAGTAACAACAACATAGCAACTCTCATAGAACAAAACAATAATACATTCATATATAATGAAGAGGTTATTGAAGACAATACACTTAATAAAGAGGTCCTCAAAATTAGTATATATAACAAAGATAATAACAAAACAACAATATATAACAAAGAGGTTTCTGAGACTAGTACAGATAACAAAGACAACATAGAAACAACAACTCAAAATGAGTCAATGAATAAACAAAGTGACTTTATTTCAGAAAGAAATACAACTTCTAGTTCTAGCAAAATAACTAAACTATTAACAAAAAAATAGTCAAGTTCTTTTTTAAACTTAAAAGAGACCAGTTAACTTACTTATCATTTTTTCCTAAGAACACAATTAAATCAAAAATGAAAATGCTCTTATCATAGATATACAAAGCCTATGATGCTCTTTTAATGAAATTATGTTATCTTTATTTAAAACTACTAAAAATAACATCATTGCAGCTAAATAACATCTTACTAAAGAAATACAATCACATCTAAAAATCATTTTCACAGATAAAGAAAAACTAAAGATTTATGCAACAATAGGTTTTAAAATTTTTAACAGAACATATTTTGGATATATTCCAATAGATATAAGGAAATCATTCTTGTTAGTTAAAATCAGAAACGTCCCACTAGGCAACAAAGAAGAACTGTCAGACTCAATTAAAGATGTTTTTAAGAATATAGATAAAATAGCATTGATTAAATTCCTGTTAATTAAAGGTACACCATATCTAACAGATCAGTGAGTCATAATTTTAAGACTACAGACGATTCATTTTTAGAAAGTAAAATATCAGGGTTTACTCATATTTGAGATAACAAGGTTACAACAGAGTGGAAGGCAGCAGCAAAAGTATATTACTTTTGTGAAAAAAAAGAGCATATTAAAAAAGAATGCCAGCTATTCTAGAAATTAGTAGCCTTTTGTCAACAATATCAAGACTTCAAAAAAAGAATTTAATTATACATCAAAGATAATTTCACAAATATCAGGCCAGAACAAAAATCTCATACAGCTAATTCTGTTAACAAAGAAGAAAACTTATACTTGCAAGATGATATATTTATTACTGACAGTGTGAGCTTACAAGAAAATAATTTAATACAAGAAGAATAAAATGGGTCTTTGTTACTTTCAATGGAAATAGACAACAATAAAAGAAACTCTACACTAAGTAAAAATAAGAACCTCTCAATTGACCCAGTACTAGCACCTTGCAATGAACTGGTTACACTGTATTTTAATGCAGAACAATAGGAACAAAACAAAAATATAGATAAAACATTATTAATAATAGAAGTTGATAATGAGAAGGCCCTTATGCCATCTCATAAAAAAGACAAAGATAAAAAAGGAAAAAGCTTACAGGATAAGAGCCAATTAAGGCCTAGTCTATACAGAAAACAATATAACAAAGGACTGTTTTCACAAATCTAATTGGATCAAAATTTTTGTACATTTACATATCTTCAAAATTCAAACTCAAATTCACAACTTTGAATGTAAAAGAACTAAATAATCAAAGCAAACAACAAAAAATATTAACACTCTTAAAATTCTATAATTTAGATTTAATAATAATACAAGAAACTAATTTTAACAATGAAAATACTAGAAACTTTTTAAAATATTAATAGATATATGACTCATTCTAGTCAAACAAAATTGCTAGAAACAGAAACATTACCTTTATAAATATGAAAATACACCAAAATAGATAAGTTACACAGCATTATTTGTTTACAAAGGTCTCTTATTTCATATTACTAATGTGTATATACCTTCTAATATTAGCAACAGAATAATATTTTTTGATAACTAGACTTCTCAAATAAAAGAAAATATAATAAACATTATAGTAGGAGACTTCAACATAAATCTAAAACCTGAAGCAAATAGAATAAGTTAAGCTGTATCTCAGCCAGACTCATCTAGGAACCAACTGTTGGAATTAACAAGAAATCTTTTAAACACTGCAGAAATTACAGACTCTAAGCCTTTTTTTATATTTCACCAAAAAACACAAGATGGTAATATAATGACAACATATTTAGACTACATATTTATTGATAAAAATTAATCACATTTAGTTTTTAAGATTACCACACATTTTGGTAATTCTGATCATCTTCTAGTTAGTTGCTTACTCAACTTTAACTGAAAATAAAAACAACCATCTAGCTGATGATTTGATAAAACTATGTTCAATAATAAAAAACTTAAAAAAAGAGATCTTTGAGAAAATCAGTAAATCAAATACAACAGAGAACTAGAATCTTTGTAAGATCCATATACAATTGATTATAAAAGCATTCAGGAAGCCAAAAACAACAAAAAACAAAATCTCAAAGCTTAACAATAAAATAACAAAATTAAATAAAAAAATAACTAGTTTATCAAACTCAAAAAGCTTGTCTTTATTTTTAAATAAGCTTAATATACAGTTACAAGAGGAGTTAACATCTTTGGCAAAAAAATCGTATATCTGGTCCAAAGTGCAATGAATAGAACAAGGTGAAAAATCAACAAAATATTTCTTTACAAAATATAAACAAAAAAAATCTCATACAGTCCACTTAAAAATTAAAATTTCAAATAGTAATTATTAAAATAGTAAGGACATTTTATAGTACATTAAAGAACAATATGCAAAAATCTACAAAGCAGAAGAGTTTGATAAGAAAGCAACAGAAGAAATTACAGAAAACCTTTCATAAATACAACATGAATCCAACAAAGGCCTGGTTAAAAGAATTACACAGGAAGAAATAATAGAAGTTATACGAAACCTACCAAATAACAAGTCTTCTGAAATAGATGACTTAACTTATAAATTTTACAAACTTACAAAAGAAGCAGTGATACTATTTTTGAAAAAGATCTTTAATAAAACTCTAAACTCTGACATTCTTTTAGTCTTATAATTCTGAAAAAATCAGAAGAGCTTGACAATATAAACAACTGAAAACCTATTTTGCTAGTTAATAGTGATACAAAAATTTTTATAAAGATCATAGTCAATAGGTTAAATTTAATCTGCAATGATATAATTCTAAATCACCAACAAGACTTCATCACAAACAGGTTCATAACAGACATAGCTCTTAATATCTTAACAACAATAAGAAACCAAAAAGATAACTATAAGCAACATTGGATGCTATTTGTTGATTAACAAAAAATATTTAATAGAGTAAATCATGAGTTTTTAAAATTAGTACTAAACAAAATGAACTTTGATCCAAGATTTGTTACCTTAATCAAAAATTTCTTTACTAACTAGTAGGCCTATATAGTAGAAGAAAATAACCTGTCTGAATCTTTTAAAATAGAAAAAGGTGTGCAACAAAAAGATTCTCTTTTATCTCTTCTATATATATTAGCATTTGAACTAATACTAAAACAATTAGAATAAAAACTTAAAGGAATTCCACTGAGAAAACAGTTTTTTAAAGCTACAACATATGCTGATGATCTAATAATTAGCATAAGATCAACCACAGACTGGAATACATTAAAACAAATATTCAAAACATTAAGCTTGTATCTAATGCAAAAATCAACAAACATAAAATTAAACTAGTTCTATTTGCTACAAGCACTAGACAAGTCAGATTATCAGAAGAAGAACATTTCAAAAAAGTAATAAAACATGAAACATTAACCATTCTGGAATACATAATTTAATCTAATGAACAATCTAAAAAAGACCTATAGTCAACAATGATCAAGAAGTTAAAAAGCTTCTTAAAAGGCATAGCTCAAAGAAACCTCTTATTCAAAAGAAAAATACTAATAGTTAAATTATTACTAATCTTAAGAATTTGGTATACAGTATACCTTTATCACTAAACAGAAAACAAATAACAGAGATCAATTAGATAATTATATTATGGATAAAAGAAATCTCAAAGATGTTATCTAAATACTTAATTTTTTAGTTTTCTGCAGACCAACAAGAACTAGAAACCCTGATTATAAAAGATATGTTTGACACAAAATTATTAACAGTTTGGCTAAAGTTCTTAATAAGAAACTTTTTATGGTCTAAATTCAAAAAAAAAAGATTACAATGATAATAAAAAAAAATATATATCTTAATTTTATAAGCATTGAAAAGACCACCAATAAAATCAACAACCTGGCCAATAGAATAGAAACCATATATTCTTGTCTAGAAAAGAATAGAAAGAACAATCAATGCCTTTACTAATTGGTTTTGGTATAAAGAAAACCTTATAGCAAAAAGAAAAAAAGAAAATGAAATCTTAGTAAAAAATCTAGTAGAATTCTTAAAAAAAAAACCATAAATTCTGTAAATACAAACTTGAAAAAAAATTCTAATAACTAGTGGTTAGATGTAAAGGCAATAGAAAACAGAAAAAAAGATATCACCTGATGTCTCTTTTACAGAATCTTTTTTTTTGATTATTATCTATGATATGTGAACCCAAAAGAAAATAATAACTGTACATAGTGCATTGACCATTAAGCACTTTATCATAAACTGCAGAATTAACCAAGAATTTTAGAAGTTAACTTACTCCTTTCTTGACACTGAACAAGCCAAATATCTTCTCAAAACTTTAGAAGAGATCTTTAATGTATTAAACATAAAGAGCAAAAAAGGACTACAAGCAGCACTATGACTATATAATAATACAACTTACAAAATCTGGTGCTAATATACAAAAATTAAATAGAAAAAGGATTATCAAACCTTAACAAGTATATTAAATACAGTTAAATATCATTTAAACAAAGAAATCAAAATAGTACAGTTTAGCTTAAAAAGGTTTTCATCTAAAAAGAAAGAAAATATATGTAAATACTTACATTTCAGATAATAATAAATGTTATTAATAAGGGGTGTGATAACCTAGTAAAGTGATCAGGTTGTCAACCCCCAAGTGGCAGGTCTAAAGTTCAAATCCTATGGATGACGAATTTTGGAAAATAAGGTCTGTGTTACAGTAATTGTCTCTGTCAATTGGCTGGATTTGTGTATTTGTAACCTTTGTTGCACTATTTCAAATAGAAGCTTAGGACATCTATGCAAAATGTAATGTTACACCCACATAGAGGAATGTTAATAACTGGTATTGTATAAGACTTCAGTGCAAACCCACAATAAGACCACTGGGTATAGAAAGCAAAGA